CCCTGATCCTATCGAGAATGCGGTTTTCTCACGATCAGCTGGCTCCATGTCTACTTGCCAATATCCACTTTTCAGATCGAGTGTGGAAAACCAACGAGAACCAGAAAGTGTATCCAAAGTATCGTCTATTCTGGGCAAAGGATAACTATCTTTTTTAGTTACCGAATTGAGCTGTCGGTAGTCAATACAAAAACGTGTTGAACCATCTTTCTTCTTTACTAGCACTACTGGTGATGTCCATGGACTGTTTGATGGTTCAATTACCCCTTGTTTGCTCATATCTTTGATGATGTCTTCGGCTTCATCTCTTTTCGCAAATGGAAGTCGTCTAGGTTATTGTCTGATTGGCTGAGCGTCTCCGGTATTAATTTTGTGCTTTACTATGCTTGTTTTGCCATTATCCTTCTTATCAATGGCAAAAACATCTTGAAATTCTATTAGCATAGACTTCACTTTTTTAGTTCGTTCATCATCAAGATCTTGGCACGTTTTAATTATCGTCCCAACAAGCTCCTTTGGATACTTAGATTTCGACGTTTTCTCATTAGTACTCATGGAACAAATCAAAGCCACAGGAACACACTGTCCGATCAAAGTTCTTTTACTTAGCTTAATATCAGTTCCCTTTAATTTCATAACTCTTACAGGAACGACATCTCGAATTCTCACCAAAGCTTTTGCCGTTAGGATCTCGGCATTGTTCACCTCTTCGACCATCCTTAAACTTCCCTCTCGGCAGTAACCATCAGGTCTGGTCATCAAAATTTTCTCACTATTACCGGGTATTGTTACGTCGCAAGTAGTTATTAAGCTGATAACATCTTCTTTCTCTTCATGAAACGGCAACTCTTCACCACTGATCTCGAGAACTCCATCTTTGACATTCAATACAGCCCCAACTTTCCTTAGTAAATCCATCCCCAATATGAACTCATCGGAGATCTCTGCAATTAATACTCTATGTTTCACTGTGGTCTGGCCAACGGATACTGACATATTAGCCTCGCCATATGTATTAATTATCTCACCAGTTGCTGTTCTAAGCTTTACTGTTGCAGGCGATAATTTAAGATGGTCTCGTACTACTTCTGGCCGTGCAATAGTTCTTGTTGCACCTGTATCTACCAAAAACGATCTACATTTATTGTTAATACGACCCTCGATGTACAAGCTATGAATTCCACCGGAGGACGTAATGTTCACAGTTAATATGGTGGCTGTGTTTCTCGAGGTCGGCAGTTGCCCCTTAGTGTCGACCCGTTCTAGTTTTCCGACTGTTGTATCATTTTCTTGCAATTACGGCGAATGTGACCTACGTCACCACAATTCCAACATCTGGGCTCGCGTCTCTTCGGCATCGTGTTATGAACTATTTTTCGTACCATTTTTGCTAGACGTTCATCGTTTGGTTCGTCGCCTTCTTCAATGGTTCTTACTCGATGGCTCCGTGAAGTTTGACTAGCTGTTTCATGTTCTAAGGCAATAGCGAGCGCTTCATCTAGAACTTTCGGTCTTGCTAGTCGTAAAGCTTTCTGTAATTCACTTTCTTTTAACCCATTGACGAAGGTATCTACGGCAATTTCTTCCAAAATGTTGTCTGGTACCTCCGGATAAGCCAACCGCACTATACGAGCAACATCTGCTTCAAACTCTTGCAAATTCTCACTTGCTCGTTGAGTTCTACTTCTTAGTTGCGCCTTGTAGACTTGTTGTAGATGGGCATCTCCGTAACGTTTGTCTAGTCTAGTAAACAAGGTCTGGTAACATTTTTCTTGACCCTTAGGAATCGATCTTAGGATATCTGCAGCATCACCTCGTAAAGCAGCAGTCAAGGAAACAGCCTTTTCTTGTTCTGTGCAATGATTGGCTGTCGCAATAGCTTCAAATTGTCTAAGGTATATGGACCAAGAGGACTTTCCATCAAATGGTGGCAATTTGAATCTCATATGATGTGTCATTTCATCTCTAGGTGATTCTTCTTTCACTACCGGTTCTAAGGCTACCGTATTAATTGGTGGTAGCATTTTCGTGTTAGTTATCATGATCTGTAATTGTTTGATTTTCTCTTCTACGTTTCTTCCATCATTTGAGAAACATTTTCAAATTTCTCGTCGAATCTTCTAGACCCATTTTCGAGTTTCTCGTCGTTTTGTCTACCTACTTCTTTAATAATTTGAGACGTTTCATCCAATCTTTTGGAAACGTTCTCGAATTTATTATCATTTTTTTTTTCGAAGATTCTTCAATCATTTGTGATGTTTCATCGAATCTTTTGGAAACAGTCTCGAATTTTCAATCAATTATTTTAGTTAAAACGGCTTCTTCTGCTGACTGGAACTGGAATGTCTCTGGGTCGTCTCCATTCTTGTGGAGAACAGTCTTTAGTCGTTCTTGGAGTATCTTCTTGGACCCGCTGCAGTCTTCATCGCGTTCTTCTAGTTGCTCACGCAACTGTTTCACTGAAAGTTCTACTAGCAGCATCTTTGATCAGGCACACACGTACTTTTAAAATGTTCTTTTGTACAACGATCACTACCGAACTACGCGGATGTTCCCGACGAACAATACTTTTCAAAAGTTCAAAAGTCTCTTTTTTCACTGTTAAATTTATTTTTAAATAAATCAATTGTCCTCACACGGTGACACCAACTGTAACGTGATTAAATAAAACCAGCGGTTCGAATTTATATAAATATATTTATTTATAACTTTACAGTTCGATACTATCTTATCAACTAAACTTAACTCCTAATTCCGTTACAAATATATACCAAAGTATTATGTTCGAGAATATTCGGGACTAGTCCCACCTCTAATTGGTTATTTGACGGGTGGAATTTTACAGCGCTTTGATATGTCGCCGAAACTTCTGGGTGCTTCGAGATGCGACCGTTAGGCGAGCCACGTTCGTAACAATAGATACGAATTCGTCTAGAAACATTATTCTTTTAGTTTTTTAAATTTGTTGTACAAGCAGAATCCACCATGTCGTTAATATGTATTGGTCTTTCTGGTCAGTCTATATTTTTCCAAAAATTGTTAAACAATTCTAGTCTCTCTTCCAAAAATAAGTTCCAGTTCATTTTATTGCTTTTTTTACTCATAGAACAATTACAATGTTTTCTTACGTGTTTTGCAAGCTTCGTAATATATTTCCATTTACCTTCTACTTTTTCAATGCCAACATATTCTTCGCCTTTTTTTCTTTTTTCTTTATTTACGGATCTATTCCAATTAGAAATATTGGGTTTCTTACTTCGACTGCAACAAAGAGATTTAGTTCGTTTTCTATAAATAATCATCTAAAATATCTTGCAGAGTTTCTTCCTGATGTTATGTCCGAACAGTTGTGTCCGAGGATAAGTCGTCCGAATTTTTATCGGAAGTGATTTCCAAAGTTCCATCTGGCAAGGCTTCTGCCCAATCTTTAAGTCCAATAACTATTTAAAGATCTACTATAACTTAATAAAAAATGATAGCTACATATGCTTATAAAATCAAGAATTTACGACATCGCAGATTATTCTCCGCTGGAAATATAAACCTAATGTTTACTAAAAAACTGTTATTACAATATTAAAACAGATTACTCACTATACAATTTAAAAAGCAAAGTTAAAGCATTGCATGTCACAACCAAAATATTTATAAACTCTCGAAGTCTAATCACATTTTAAAGGCAAATATTTTTTAATATTCATTATTACATTTTAAAATACAGATTCTACTCACCACAGGATTATTTTGCCTCTTTATTTTTAAAGTTGTCTTGCTTTATTTGCACCAACAGTAGTTAGAACACTACACAAAATCAAAGTAAAACATAACCTCTATCATTATACCAGACTTACAAGGTCTTACTGCCCTCTAAAACACACTAGACTTACTAGTATTTTCAATTGCGCATAGACGGCGATAATGTTGACAAAGACTTACAAAGCTTTGCTCAACGCATTTAAATATGTAGTAGATTCTATTTCAGCCATCGATATATATATATATATATATATATATATATATATATTATATATATATATATATATATATATATATATATATATATAGATATATATATATATATATATTTATATATATGTATATATATATATATACATATATACATATATATATATATTTCAATCTACTGAAGAACTAAAATATGACCTGACAACCTTTCTGGCGCCGGTTTGGCTTCAGTCAATTCCCTACGATTACGCGTTTCGTCATTTTCCTTGTCTAAGATAAACAAACTGTGTGTGTTTATTAATTTATTCTATTGTTTATTATAACATTTATCCAAGGTATGCTCCTTGGTGCCTTGGTTTCCTGGTCTTTAAAATGTTTACTGAATTTATCGTATATGTGAGGATAACCCCGAATTAGGCTAATTAACTCATATTTATCTGCAATATTTAAATTATACTATGATATCATTTTCTTAATTATTACTGTCTTATGAATTATTAACGTACCGTCCAATGTAAGAAATAATCATTAAAGTTCGAATATATTGATAAACAAAACAAAATAGAGGGCGGGCCGGACAATTCACAGTTCACTTTGGTTGACAGCGCAAAATTCTTCCTTTTGATTGACCAGACGCAAGTAACGCACTGTAAAAGTTGAAAGTTGACCAATTCTTGCGTTCCAGTCCGTTTCAGTTTCCGTCATGCGTTTACGTTCATTTATAAATAAGAGGACACAAAATAATATGTTAATCTTGTTCCAGTGCGTCTACGTTTACAGTCCGTCAAACTAGAAATCTAGCTTTAATTTTTTTGCTTCATAAGTGACTACAGGTAACACACATTGGTCAGAAATTTTCCTTTTGAAGCATATGAGTAGGTCCGATTTAAATACATATTTTTATACAAACGTTGCCCAGACTAACCCTATGCGACTTCGAACTCCTGCGTCTAGTTTATCACTTGAAATAAATATTTTGTAAAGTAATTATAAAAAAAAATGTAGTCGATGATGGAAAATATAAAAAGCGAAATCAAATTAAAATTTTATTAGTGATGTTTATAACTAACTTATTTTAGTTTAAAAAACGTCCACTAAAAAGTGTTACATCAGTATTCAGGTCCCTTATATAAAAGTAGAAAGGATGATCGGCATTAAAGATGAATTTGGCTGGAGGTCGGTAGAGAGACACAGGTATAAAATTAACTAAAATCAAATAAAAAAATTTATTAAAAATCCTTTATAACAGGTATATATTTAAAAACCAAATCGGGCTATGTTATACAAAACGTTTTCGGAATCCATATTCCATCATCAGTGTCCTAAAAAGTATATAATCACTTAACTAAAACAGACACGAAATTTAAATTTTGACCAAGGTTAATATAAAATGTGGTGGGGACCTCAGCCTTCTGTAATCTTTCAGTGTCTCACAATTTTTTCAAAAAACACCACAATTTTCTTCTTTTTACTTAAATTTAACAGAGCCACCTACAACCATTTCATTTTCACAATTATGGTTAATATATACCAATAGTCCAGTCAACTTATGAACTTATAACTTATCCTTTTATATTTCTTATGTACCTAGTGTTGCTTTATAACAGATAGGGCCTTTTCTTAAGTTATTGATCAACATATTACAAAACCACGTCCCACCCATCAAATTTTGTTCATTTCATATAATTGTTAACACACAAAAAACAACTAGGTATACCACTTCGTCCGGTAACACTTAAACGGATATTTATATTCATGAACTTGTAACTTAAAAAGTTTTACATTTACCAGGTACAAAATGTTGCTTTTTGACATACAGGACCTTCTATAATTAAGTTATAAGTTAAATATTACATGAACATTATATAACAAAAGTTTTATTTGATTCACTCTATAACACTTTCAAATATAAAATATATTAATTCCTATCCAACCAATAACAACAAATTTTCAAGACCCAAGTTTCCACATACGTCTAGTTTCCATTTTGCAGGTACCAAATGTTGAAGAAACATATAGGGCCTTATGGTAGAATTAGTAGAATCTCTAATTCACAACACATGTATAGTTGGTTGCCTAACTATAACCACATAATCTTCTCACCACAATTCATCTCATATACATAATTTAAAACAACAACATTGATGGTTGATACTATTATATTATTTTATTTTAACTTTTCCAATTTTAAATAACGTTGGATCCTGTCTTAAGTATACAAATAAAGTTACACTGACTGCTCTGTTACGACTTCCGTTCTAACTTGTCAAGATTGTTATTTTAATCAGTTGCTTTCATAAAGTCCTCGTAGACACACCGTCTCAGGACTAGACACTTCACGTGGAGTCATATGTCGTCATGTTACCAAATCTAACGGTAACTTTAACATCCTAATAATAAATAACAAATAATGTAAACTAAATGTAAACAAATAATTTTTAACTGGTTTTTACCTACATATTTATTGGCTTCATTCATGTATACCTAGTAAGTACTAACCAGATTTTGCATTAACCTTGGTCAAAATTTAAATTTCATGTTCTTTTTAATTGTGTGTTATATACTTTTTAGGACACTGATGATGGAATATGAATTTCGAAAACGTTTCGTCTAACATAGCCCGATTGGGTTTTTAAATATATACCTTTTATAAAGGATTTTTAATAGATTTTTTTAATATATGGTATACAGCCAACTACAGGAACGTAGATTCTTTGTGGATTTTAAAATCAAATAAAATTAATCAAGCAAAAAAATTAACAGATAAGAATAAGTAGGAAAATAACTACAATGTAGAGCACCAAATATCAGAATTGGGATAATTGGGATCAAATTAGGATAAGTAAAGACTGGTAAACACCAGAAAATATTTTATTTGGGACAAATAAAGGAGGGAAGAATTCAGAATACGAGAAAATTATTGCATGTGGTAGAAGATCGGGAAGTCTTCGCAATGGTGATTAGTAACGTCGAATAATTCTGGTATGGTACATAAAAAGAAGAACAATTAAATAAGCATCTTATAAAATAAATATAACTTCTAAATAATATAAGCATCTTAACAAAGTACATCTCTATTTTGAATGTCTCGAATTATAATGCTGAAATAAAAACTTGAAAACGACGTACAAATAATCAAAAGTAATCTTTTAAGTAAGAACGACCTACCCAACTAATCTAAAAAAACAATCTTAGTCGCTTTTGAACTCAAACTACAAATTGGATTAAATGGCCAACTATATGGCCTAGGAGACAAATTCGTTAAACTTCCCGTGCTCGAATTGGTATCACTAAAGTGTTATGATCATTTCGGCCTATCCCATAGCACATCATAACACATCATAACACTTTAGTGATACCAATTCGAGCACGGGAAGTTTAACGAATTTGTCTCCTAGGCCATATAGTTGGCCATTTAATACATACAGCGATAGCGGCTTTCGCTAAAAGATTTAATTCTTATACAAATTGGATGTTTTAAAAAACCTTTAAAAGACATGTTTAAGATAACCTTCAGAACTAGAAAACAAAATGTAAATGAGATGTAAGCAAAATAGAAATTACATGACACAAACCTAAAAAAAGTATAGAGGTAAGGTAAATTACCTTTAATGCAACAATACAAAGACAAAAAGTATTAAAAATACAAAGATCATCATCAGTGGCATTACAGCTCGTCATAAGCCAAAGCCTTCAGAACAATCTTCCATTCGCCTTATTTCTGGCAACTCTTCTCCATGCTTTAACTCCGATGGGTTTTAGATTATCCTCTATGTTATCTTGATACTAAAGTTTTGGTCTTCCTCTGGATAGTCTTCCCACTGCTCCTCTTGGGTCGAAAATTTTTTTAATCGTTGCATTTTCATCTCGCCTAATTACATGTCCTATCCATCGAAGGCTTGCTAATTTAATACATTTTACCACGTCAGGTTGCCCAAAAATTTTTGGGACATATATATGTTCTTTTCATTTTTCTCTCGAAACGTTTAAGCAGTTCTTGGTCGTTCTGTGTAAGTATCCACGTTTCTGACACGTAAGTTAACACTGGCCTTATTAGTGTTTTACATATGGTAATTTTATTTTTCTGGGTAGTTTTGAGACCATCTGTTTTCTCAAGCCATAATAACACTTATTGGAAAGCACCATTCTCCTTTTAAGTTCTTCGCTGACATTCTTGTCTTTATCAGCAGCCAACCCAGGTAGACGAAGGTGTCCACACCTTCCAGTTCCAGACCATCAATTAATAGTCTAGGTATCTGGTTGCCTGATCTAGTACAATATATTTGGTTTTATGTGCGTTTCTTTTTAATCCCATTCTTAGTGCAAACGCCCTTAATGATTGAAATGCTCCTATCAGAGATTCTGTGAACCTAGCAATAATGTTTATGTCATCTACATATCCGACCACATGTACAGATTTATTAAAGATGGTGCCATTCGTATTAATATGGCACTCTCGAATGACTTTTTCTAGTGCGAGGTTAAATAAGAGACAGGACAGTCCATCTCCCTGTCTCAGTCCATTTTTACAATTTAAGGGTCTTGAAAAGTCGTTTTGGATTCTAACTACACTCTCTAAGCCTGTGAGTGTAAGTTCCGTTAGCTGAACAAGATGAAGCGGCATTTGAAATTGCACCATAGCCTGTAGAAGTTTTTGTCTGTTGACTGAGTCGTATGCGGCTTTAAAATCCACGAATATGTGGTGGGTGTTGACTCCGAACTCAAGCACTTGGTTCCAAAATGGCACTTTGGTTCCAATATAATGTTTGCACTATATTTATGATTTGACTGTCAATGAGCTTGTTCATAAGTATTTGTATTAGTTTTTCATGTCTTACTTTATCGAAAGGTTTTTCGTAGTCAACAAAGCACAAGTGTAGATCAACGTTTACATCCCTACATCGCTGAATTAATATGTTTGATGGCAAATAGTCCTTCTCAAGTGCCCATTCCATTTCAGAACCCGAAATGCGTCTTGCTAATATCTTCCTCTAGCCCTTCGTATATTGTAGCGTTTTATATTTAATGTCTATATAATAATATAAATTCGGTTCTAAATTGTCATAGTACGCCCGTGGTATACCAAGAAATGTGTTGTGTTCGTTATGGAAGTCAAAATTTTTAAATGCGTATTTGGTCGTGAGAACGATTTTTGTTTAGATTATCCAACAAATATTCAGCTTAAAAATAGTTTCTTAGAAAAATTATCGCAGAGTCAGGTAATTTTTGTTACCACGCAAAAAATTTGTGGATGACAGGCTAACTGCGGGGAAAAGGGGTGGATTCGGCGTTCGAATTAAGAGGAGGAACGCGGTGGGTGCGGCAGTCAAGCTAAGTCAACCGAAAGGGACAGTCATATCGATTTGAATTTACTTTTTCGATTTAATCGTTAACTTTTTTGGTAATGTACCAAAGATCAGTAAAAAAAAATGAAGACATTCTTGGTTTTTAATTGCCGTCTTTGAACAGAATACTTCATTTTATATTGTTTACCTACGATATGGTAGTCACCGGAAGATTTGAGTGAATGCCGGAAGCTTTTGCGAAGTGTGGTGTAAGGTGTTCCAAATGCTAGTTTGATTCCTCAACCAGCTTGTTTGATCGTTCTTCCGGGAGTGTGGAAATAATTCCTGATGGTTGCTGTTTTTCCAGTTTGAGAGTTTTGTCCGAGTAAGCTTCCCCAGAGATATAACAAGTTTCAAAGTAAAGTGATTGTAAAAAAAATTTAAGGTTACTTTTAATAATATGTAAATCTTTCCAAGTTATAAGCTTTCATTAATAAAATTTGTAATAATTAAAGATTTATGTTATGTTGTCATAGATAAAAATGTCATAATTTAATCTGTCTTAAATTGTTATGTTGACAGATGACATTTTGCTTTAATCCATTTTTGTTATAAGGCAATTTTAATTTGATTATTTTATATAAAAGATATTCCATATATAAGGTTAAATTCAATAATATTTTTCATAAAAAGGATATCCATAAAATTTTGATAATCTAAATTGGCCAGATTATAACCTAGAAACCATTTGAATTTTTGTGGCAATCTTTGATGTAAACAAAGACATGTAAGTTTTGTTTATTTTGTATTATGATATAGTATATTTCTTTTGTAATCTATATTTTGGATACCTGTTTGTTTGAGACAAGAATATACATTAAATTTGTTTCTCTGATCCATTTTGTATTTTAATTTAGAAAT